CTGAGTAGCTGCAACTACAGGCATACACCACCACGCGCAGCTAAGTTTTGTATTTGCAGTAGAGACAGGGTTTCACCATATTGGCTAGGCTGGTCTTGAACTCCAGACCTCATGATCTGCCCACCTCGGCCTCCCAAAGTGCTGGTATTACAGGTGTGAGCCACCACACCTGGCCTTAGGAGCTTCTTATGTGAGGCATTATAATTCCCTTGTCTGTGATAGGTTGCAAACATTGTTTTTCCAAGTGTATCGTTTGTCTTTTGGCTGATGGCATTTTGTTTTGTTTTGTTTTGCTATGCACAAGGTTTTTTTTTTTTTTAAATACATTTTTATGTACACAAAGTTATTTTTTATTATTTCTGGATTTGCCTTTTCTCTATCTTTATAACAGACTTCATGCAAGTTTTCTTTCAAAAGTTACGTGGGATTTTTTTGTGGGGGTGTTGGGCTTTTTTTAAAAAAAGACTTAATTTTTTCGTAGCAGTTTTAAATTCACAGCAAAATTAAAAAGAAGGTACAGAGATTTCCTTGTCCCCACACATATGCATAGCCTTTCCCGTTATCAACATCCCCTACCAGCGTGGTATGTTCGTTACAGTTGATGAACCTACACTGACACACCGTCACCACCCAACGTCCATGGATTACGTTAGGGTTCACACTTGGTGTTGTCCATTCTGTGGGTTTCAATAAATGTATAATAACACATATTCATCATTATACAGTATTTTCACTGCCCTAAACATCCTCTGCCTTCTGCCAGTTCATTCCTTCCTCCCTTATATCCCTGGCAACCCTGATCTTTTTTTTTTGGAGATGGAGTCTTGCTCTGTCACCCAGGCTACAGTGGCACAATCTCGGCTCACTGTAACCTCTGCCTCCCGGGTTCAAGCGATTCTTCTGCCTCAGCCTCTTGAGTGGCTGGGACTACAGCCATGCGCCTGGCTAAATTTTTGTATTTTTAGTAGAGGTGGGGTTTCACCATGTTGGCCAGGCTGGTCTCAAACTTCTGACCTCATGATCCATCCGCCTCGGCCTCCCAAAGTGCTGGGATTACAGGTGTGAACCACCGCACCTGGCCCACCCCTAATCTTTTTACTGTCTCCATAGTTTTGTATTTTCCAGGATGTTATATAGCTAGAATCATACAACATGGTTGCTTTTTCAGTTTGGCTTCTTCATTTATTAATATGAATTTAAGGTTCCTCTATGTCTTTTCATGGCTTGATAGCTCATTTCTTTTTAGCACTGAATACCATTCCATTGTCTGTATATACCACAGTTTGTTTATTGATTCACCTAGTGGAGGACGTTTTTATTGCCTACAAGTTTTGGCAATTATGAATAAAGCTGTTATAAACATCTGCGTGCGGGTTTTTGTGTGGACATAAGTTTTCAACTCTTGGGTAAATACCAAGGAGCATGATTGCTGAATTGTATGGTAAGAGTATGTTTATTTTTGCAAGAAACTGCCAAACTGTTGTCAAAAGTGGCTGTACCATTTTGCCTTCCTGCCAGTAATAACTGAGCGTTCCTGCTGCTCCACACCCTCCCCAGCATTTGGTGTTGTCGGTTTTCTGGATTTTGGCCATTCTAATAGGTGTATAGTGATACGTCATTGTTGTTTAATTTGCATTTCCCTGATGAAATATGATGTGGAGCATCTTTTTGTATGCTTATATATATCACCAGCAAATAAGCATATGTATATAAAAGATATATATGATACATATAAGATATATATGATAGGCTGGGCACGGTGGCTCACACCTGTAATCCCAGCAGTTTGGGAGGCCAAGGCAGGCAGATCACGAGGTCAGGAGATCGAGACCATCCTGGCTAACACGGTGAGACCCTGTGTCTACTGAAAATACAAAAACTTAGCTAGGCGTGGTGGCATCGGCGCCTGTAGTCCCAGCTACTCGGGAGGCTGAGGCAGGAGAATGGCGTGAACCCGGGAGGCGGAGCTTGCAGTGAGCCGAGATTGCGCCACTGCACTCCAGCCTAGGGGACAGAGTGAGATTCCATCTCAAAAAAAAAAAAGATATATATGATATATATGTAAGATATACATGATATATATATAAGATATATATATATCGCCACCATATATATATGTAGGTCTGATTTTGAGAGTATTCTGATATATAATGTGAAGTATGAATGCAATTTAATTTTTTTCCATTGGCTGTCCACTTGTCCAAACATCATTTATTAAAAAGGCCATCTTTTCCCACATTGATCGGAGGTGTGATCTCTCATCATATACAATTTTCTATGTGTACTTTTTTTCACTTTCTGAGCTTTTTGTTCTATTGTTCTGTTTCTTCATGCAGCAAAACCACACTCTTCCACTTGTAGAAGCTTTATAATATTTTAAAATATCTGGTAGTGCCTGCCTCTTCCCTATCCCGATGTAGAACACAGACACACACATACACTGTTTTTCTTTTTTATGTTTTCTTGGTAATTATTTGGTTGGTTTGTTTTTAATTTATTTAAGTTTTTATAGCCAACAGACCTAGTTGGCATCTAAGTAGCTGGCATTTCTCTGCTATTTCTAGAGACTTTCTTTGCCACCTAGTATTGACCAATTCTTTGTTGATAGGACATTTATTCTGAAAAAGAATGAGCATTTTATATAGGCTGGGTGCAGAATTTTGTACATATATCACATGTTTCTGGAAATTTAAAGTTTTTGTGGGCTTCTGAAGCAAATTATGAAGTATGTGTAAGATTCAGGGATATCCTACAGCCTGCTCTCATATGATGTTCATCATATAGGTCAGTGGGTAGACCGCAGGTGGACTGTGAACTGGCTAACGCTATATAAAAGAGGTTTCTATATGTGATTTTTCTGGAGAGAAGATACATCAATCTTTTAAAGATGTTTTATCATCACAAAAAGTTAGACTGTTCCAGGTAAAGGTGAGAAAAAGACTGGAATTAAATACTCTGTAAAAAGATAATGAGGATGGCTTTGAAAAACTGAAAGATGAAAAAACAGCTCTTTTTATACTATTGTGCTCAGGATACACTGACTATAAAATTAAAGTATATTTTAATATATTAGTAGGTAAAGTTTCTAAGAGGTAAATGTCTACGTTTACAATAATGGTGTTTTCTCTCATATTTCTTTTAGGTAAGTGACAATCTTATGCTCGGATACATCAGCTTCAAAATGGATGGATTTTGAGGGTTTCCTTCCTCTTCTCTGATGCTGTAGTAGTAAGTCATACTTCTCGCGTGTGCTCTGGTCTGGTCTGGGCCAGGGGATTGGCTTGACAAAAGAAACTAGATAATTTCTTGTAAACACTTTGCCTTTTTTACTTGATATACATGTTTTGTTAAGAACTCTTTGTATGTGTAGTCTCTGAGATTACACAGAAGAATGAAAGGACCAGCTTCCAACTTTCAAGAAGACTGGATTTTAATAAGAATACAACAGAAAGAACTTGGGTTTTGGAGTTGTATTAGGTTTGAATTTCACTTTTTCATTACTGTGTGATAACTCAGTTGGATATCTTTTTCTTCTTCTACTTCCTCATTTACTCAGTAGGTATAATAATAACTACCTATCAGATTGTTGGGAAGATTAAATCAGGGAATATCTATCCTTATCACAGTGCTCCAATATATAGATTTTGTTGCTCATTTCTTCTTTCCAGCTCTATCCCATGGCTCAGAAAGAAACAACAACGTCTAGAATGTAGAAAAATAGACACTAACTCTCCTCTCCTGTTATCTGAAGGGTCTTTGGCTGAGATTCAGGAAATCTTGGAGACCAGTCACCAAAGGATTTTGTAAAGGAATCTGTAGTGGGTCTAAGTAGGCACTTTTCAAAGCCTGAGCCATCTTCTTGAATGTCACAGTCACATTAAAAGAGCCTAGTTAAATGTGGCTTAGATATTGTTTCACAAGTGGCCTTAGTGGAATCCCTGTAAATAAATATGTTAGAATATTAAGTTGGGAAAATCTTCTTTTGTTTAATCTAAAATGGAATTTATACAAATGACTAAAGAATGTAAGCTGAGATTGTTTGATCTCATGTGATTCTTTAAATAATTGTCACATTGTTGTGTTTAGAATTATCTAGCTATCTGGCCTAGTAAACAGATGAGCAATATTCACTGAGAAGGAAAAGTATATACAATTTGGTTTGGAAAGTGGAAGAGAACCATGCCTAAGTTGGAGAGACACAAGTGAGAAAAGTCAGGGGGAAATTCAAGCATGGGCATTTTAGTTCATATGGCTCAAATACCTCTTATCCAGTGGCATAAGGCCTGACTAGAAATGTTCCTCTCTAAGGAGATGCTGGGGCCAAGGGAGACTACAGTTCATTGCACATTCAGAGATTAAAATATCTCCAAATTAGTTCCAGTGAATCATTTTAAATTATTTTAAAAGCCCTTTATATTTTAATCAGAGCCTATTCACGACCAGTTAATTTGGATGGCACGTTCTAAAATTACTTTCTCCCAATGATGTGTTGTACCATTGCCATTGAATGCAGAAACCTCATGGAAGAGGGGATTAAGGAAATTTGAAAGTACCGAGGAGCTGTTGATCTTAGTTGAGTGTTTACTGATTTATGAGTAGATTAAGATTTCATTCTTGACATCTGATTTGGATGGGATAATGAGTAATGATACTCTTGTAGAGAGGGTGAGTGATTCCACAGGATGCCAAAAGTGTAGCAATGTGCCCATTTCCCCAAATATTCAGGGAAGACTTGATGCTGTGGCATTGCTGTAGTACTTTCTTCAATATTTGGATGTAGTCTTTGGGTTTAGGAGGTATTGTTCTAACCATCTTTGGTATTCTCAAAATTTTTATCTACCATTTTGTTCATCTGTTCTACAATTAGCAAAGGGGTGCATGCCTTGTTAAGAGTTCTAACTGTATGGCACACTTCCTTAGTCATTAAGGTAAACGTGATAGAGTACAATGTCTCTTATTGTCACTTGAGAATTAAAAAAATGAGCTATACAGATCATGTGTTGGTTCAAGTTTGACTTTTATGCTCTGTTATTCTCACTTCAAAGTTGATGAAACTGAAGCTCAAAGAAAGAAGACCTGCCTTGGGTTACATATCAATTTATTGATAGAACTCTAGGCCAGTGCTTTTATTGATAATGATCTTCATTCTGCTTCTGTTTGATTGGGGAGGAGCCTTGTGCTTAGCTGTACTATTCTACATCTTGATACATAGACTTTTCATTTTGTGGGAGATCAGCAGCAGCTCCTTGGAAGTTGTTCATTTTACAGTTAGCTAAGGTAGAGGGGCTGGTAATGTTCAGTTTCTCTGTGCCGTTCTCCTGATATGTTGGCTCAAGATACCAGAATCTATCTTGGAATGTTGTGTATTACCCATTAGTTACCAATCTTCTGCAGGGAAAGAATATAAATAGGAGAAAAAAGAGATGGACAGGATGAATTTTTAAATTATAGCACTGAGTAACAACTGCTAGTCATGAAGTTTTTGGCAGTTTGTTAGAATCCCATTTTAAAGCAATAACACACTCAGAGTTGTATTCAAACACTGAGATAAATGCATCAACCTAAATTCATGGTTTTGTTTTTTTCCATGTAGCTGCTAATTATTGAACATAACGAGGCTTATTCATAATTTCTTTTCTCCTGCTTGATAGCCATAATCCTGTATTTGTGCTGCTGTCATTCCCATGGTAACAGACTAATGTCTGAAGCATAAGATTATTAAATACAGAACAGTACATTAAAATAATGCTAAGGTTCTGACTTACAGAGAGACTTTCACACTGGGGCAAACTTCAAAAAAAGAGAACACTTATACAGAAAGCAATTTACTTGGCCAGTAATGTTTAGTATTCCCATAGCTATTATGGAAGAGATTTGTTTGAATTATAGCCTCTTCCTTCCCAGCCCATCATCTCCTTTGGCTTTGCAGCCAACTCTTAATCTGATGTTTATGATGTCAGCCTGTTGCCATGGGAGTTATTCTGTCACAGATGTATTGTGACTTCACTGCAGGACAGAAGCAGTGGAAAATTTAGGATGATATAGAACAACTCTAAAGTTAATCTCCTGCATATCTGTTTTGGAAAAGAAGTATTCCCTTCATCTTTATGTGCTCCTAAAAAAAAAAATAAATAAATAAAGTTAGTTAAGTGGTGACTTGTTGAAGGTTGGCCAACGAATATTGTTGAAATGACCAAAATGCCAAAAGCCACCACTAAGGAAAACATGTTACGTAGCTCAACCCTAGCTCTCTGAAGAGCGGTCAAGATTTATGTTTTTAATCCTATGCTACAGTAATGAAGCACAACCATGTCTGTAGCACATAAATTGATACACCATTTTTTCTATTTTCCTTGTAAAGGACTTTCTTCTATCTTAAATCTAATGTGGTCACATTCACAAGGACATGCCACCTTTGCTTCCACCGCCAGTGACAACCACATCTTTATTATTCACAGGACATATGTGGAGGCCCTGCCAAACAGAGAGGCATCTCTGGAGTCAAATTGTATAGTGCTCATAGCACGTTAGCATTATGGTCCCTCAGGGGCCCCTTCGTCATCTGGTATCTGGGACAGTCCCCCATTTGGATGGCATAAAAATAATCTAGGTTCTTTCCTAGGGATGAGAGATTTCCACAGAGTTAAGCTAAGTACACAGGTGATCCTGTGTGCATGATGAAGTCTTTGAATGTCATGAACCAATAGTACAAATGGAATGCATGTACCTTAAATGATTTCTTTAAAAAAGAAATATGGGATAGAAGGAGAATAAAATGCTACGTAACAAATAAAATCTTTTGGGCTATGTTTAAATAATATGTAAAATTAGAAAATTAGCTACAGTGAGTCTTTTTAAAAAAAAGTTGGAATTACAGGGTTTAGGATTTTTTTCTTGTCCTCTTCTTCTGTGTTTGAACTTAATAGAGAGTTTTAATATCCTTCCCCTTATTAAAATAAACCATTAAAGTAGGCAAGGTTAAGCAAGTTCACATTTCAAACATCTCTGATTGCTGGCGATTTGTCACTAGAAAGCTGTGGTAGTCACCTTGGAATCTGCGTACCTTTTTTTGTGTTTATGAGAATAATCTCTCTTCTGCTCTCTCACCCAAATCAGCATCCTTCTTAAAAGACTGGGGCTGTGCCGTAGAAACTCATGTCAGCATAATATGCCATGTACCTCTATCATGATTTTTTTTCAGCATTTTGTTGAGCCAGCTTCAGAAACAGCAGTGACTATGTGTGTAAATGATCTGCTTTAAAAAGCAGATGTAGATTAATGCACTGGTTTAGTATTTTTCCCAACTTTTTCCTTTTCCTTTTCTTTATCTCTTTTCCCCCTTCAATTCTCTGGGATAATCCCGATGATAAATCTCAAAGAAGGCAGAAGAATTTGTTTGTTTTCTGTACTTTATGTCAATGATTCCCAAACTTGGAGAGCATCAAGAAATCCTGAATGCCTGCTATCACCCCCAAAGATTGTGATCTAATTGTTTGGGGGTATGGTTAAAAATATCTTTAAGTGATTCTGATATACAGACAAGTTTGCTTTCTGCTTGCTATATATGAATAGCTGAAAATTGATCAAAGGCAAGTCTAAATATCACACATGTACTTAATTTTTATAAATCTGTTGCGTCCCTTCCTACTTTATGCAAAGTCTCATTTCCTCTGTTATAAGAACATACTATACAAGTAATCAATCTCTGACCATGAATTTTTCCCTTTCTTTTGGAATGAATAATGGATGAACATTAATTATCTCTAGTGTTTTGTTTTTTATTTTCTACTTTTAAAAAAAATTGGCTTCAAAATTTTAGGAAATTTTGCATCAAGACTATAAAACAAAAATCATGTGGCTCATAGGGAAATCAACAGGGCTCCCGTTTTAGCAACTTGATTAGCACTGGAAATTGAACTTTAGTTTTTGACGTTGGGTTGCACGCTATGCACCATCTCTGTAGTGTGCTCAGTCTGCATGCAAATTGGTTTCCTTAAGCTCTTTATAAATGATGAGATGACATTAAAAGAATGGTTTAATCATGTTTTTGTTTTTCAATATGTAATGCTAGAGAAGACGAGAAGTAGATTTCTTCATCTCATAAAACAAAGTACCTTTGCAATAAAGTTCTGACTAAAACCTAACCCGGCATTTTTTTTTTTTTCATTTATCTTGGTTATTGCTTTTCACATGTCTCGTGGTTCTTGTAAACATGATTTCCCCTCTGGAGCTAGATAGAAAGCTAAAGTCATAAAGGAAAGTGTTGATATCCAAGCATCTTGCTTCTGATGTTTAGCCTTAAGAAATATATTTGAGCTTAAAAGAAAAGTAATAGGTTTGCTTGAATTTTCTTACTTTCCCTTCACATTCTCTTTTACTGCATGTATGGATAGCCCTAATACTTGCTTTAGATAGAGATCTGATGTAATTTTATGAAGCAGTGCTGTCAGATGACTGCAAAGGATGTTAATGTTTCTGTTGACACTGCTTTTGTAGACTTCCAAAGAGCATGTGCGGATGTTAAGTCTGTAGATCTAGATCTGTAAGCACAACCATTGTCTTTGTTTTAAATGTTTGAATTTGTTTTAGATAGTCAAAATGATTACTCTACCTGTACGTATTATGAAAAAGGGCTTCCCTAAGAGCTTGGGTAGTTTTTTCTTCTGATCATCCAGAAAGATTTTTTTCTTCTTTTTCTTTTTCTTTTTTTTCTTCAATAAATTCAGCCTTTTCCTAGCAGATGATTTATTACTGTGGTCAGTGACTCTGTATTTGGCTGATTTATTGAAAAGTTCATTTATTATCAATAAATTTAGTTTATATTCATGTTAAGAACAGTGCTAATGCCATAATGCTTTGTATTTTCTCATTTTTTTTCAGGTTTGTTCCTCTTTCATAGCTATGTGGATTAGGAACTAAAACTGAAAAGATCCCCTTTCAAATTTCAGATTGAATTTTAAGATACAAATTTTAATGAGATAATTTTGGAATGAGTGGACCTTATAAGGTTATTCAGAGCTGTGGATTTTTTTTTTTAATAGGGGAATAAGAATGCATTCTATTTTTTTAAAATGCAACCTCTATGGTTTTTTTTTTGTCAGATACTGTTAACATTTGGTCGTTTTTTCTAATACTTTATTTCCTAAGACTTTATTCTTCTATTTGCTTAATGACAACCCTTAAAAGTATATTTTATCCCAACTTTTCTATTAAATCTTTCTTTCCTTCAGTCTTCTATGAAATCTGTTTCATTTAAAATTTTTTTCTAATTCTAAAGGTAGAATCTTTATGTTGATGGAAAAAGAGAATCCATAAAAGTATAGTTTAGAGGACAAAATTCAGCTATAATCCTACCAGAGAAAAATATTCTTGATATTAATATTTTTCACTTTCCATGCATATTACCATGCCTAGTTCAGATTAGACTCTTCTTGTTTTTATTTATTTACTATTATTTGTAGTCTTTATAAATATTCTTCAAGCATACATTTTAAAGACTATATAATAATTAATTTTGTGGATGTATCATAATTGAATGGGCTATTTCTCCTTTTTTTTTTTTTGGAAGAGATGGGGTCTCACTGTGTTGCCCAGGCTGGTTTGTAGTGGCTATTCACAGGTGCAAGCATAGCATACTATAGCCCTGAGCTCCTGGCCCAAGAGATCCTCCCTGGGCCCAGGAGCCTCAGCCTCCTGAGCAGATGGGATTACAGGTGTACTACTGTGCCTGGCTTGTTTCACCACTTTTAATCCTCTAGATTTTTCTACTGTAAATACTGCTTTTATGAACATCTTTGTATTTGGTCTTTGCCTACATTTTATAGTGTTTCTTTGCAGGTTTCACAATTGAAATTTCTGGGTCAGATAATGGTTGTTTTGATTTCATTCCTCCTGGCTGGAGATGACCATCTTACTGCAGGGTCATTTGTGTTTGGGAATGTGAATGTTAAGTTTTTAAAGTATTTGATACATTATGTAGAAGAAAAATATAATTTTGTTTTAATTTGTGTTTATTTGCTGTCAGTGAGGTTGTTTTCCTCCAAAATTTTATTAACCATTTGCTTTTCTTTTCAGTAGCGTTTTAGGTTCTTTAGCCCATTTCTGAATCAGTGTTTAATGTGTATGTATATGTGTGTCTGTGTGGTATTTAATCAATGTAAATAGGCTTTTTAGAGTAGAGATAATAAGCCCTTGTATGTCCTATTATAACTCTTTGAAAATTCTCTGCCTAATTTTTGCCTTTTCTGCTTGAATAAGAAAAGCTTTAAGAAATCGTTGAACTTAATGAATGACTCATTTATTTAACAGACACTTATTGAGTATCTATTATGTGCCAGGTACTGGAGTAAATAGACAAATACCTCCCCCTGTATGGAACATATATTGGAGTGGGGAGTAAGAAATAAACAATTAACACAATAAATGAACAAATTGTGTAGTATTTTAAGAATGACAGCAACTGTGGAAAAAAATAAGCAGGATAAGAAGGAGTAGGAGTACTAGGGAAAGGGTTACAATTTTAAATAGAATGGTTGGGACTGGCCATAATGAGAATATGACATATGAACAAAAATGACTTGTTGTTTTTCTTGTATAGAAATATTTGTTCTTTGTGATGATATTGTTAGTGTGGGCCTGCTATTTTGTTTTTTAATAACACGATTTAATTCTGTGCTCTGTGGGTGATCTCCTTTTTAGGATAGCTAAAATGAATCACCTTGGTCCAGAGCCCTGCTATACACTGTTGAAGGGGTTTGTAAGTTGATCTTCCTGTTCACATGTATGGGCAGGAACTCTGCCTTTAATCAAACTTCACCTGCTGCAACACCAGAGCACTGAGTTTGTGGCTGCTGTATGTCAGAATGTGCATAGCTGTAAGAGAAGTTTTGTCAATGTGAATTTGAGGGCGGAGTGAGATTTCTTCACCGCCTGGTGAGAAATAATTTAATCTATCTTACAGTAAGTGCTAGTGTTATGTTTTGTTTCAGGGGAAAAAGGAAGAAACAATTTTCATGACGCAGGTGTTGAAATTTCTGGATCCCTCTCTGCCTCCCCCATCCTCCTCCTCTTTTGCCTTTTCCTCCTTCTTTTATTTCTACTTCTTTTTCTTGCTTAATTTTAGAATTTGATTCTGTTGCTGGGTGTTATTTATTCTCTGGCATAACCATTGCAGTTCATTTTTGGAGCTGTGCTCCAAAGCCATTCATATTTTAGAATGGAACTGTGTTGTTTTGTCATTCATCACTCAAGTCTGAAAGACCATTGTAATCGTTTTGCTGATAAAGAACATGAATGTGAAGAAGAAATAGTGGTAAACCAGACAGCCCTGAGAGTGTGTTGTCTTGAAAAGGAGCATGGGATCACAGAGAAGTTCTTTATTTTTGTTCATTTAAATTGATGAATTCTTTAAATTGTATGTCTAATTGTACTCTTTTTTTTTATAGTTTAATGCAGACAGGTTATAAGATTCTAGATGCTAATTCACACTGATTTCTTTGA